CCGCACCGCGAGCTGGTTGAGGACGCCCGCCGGCTCGCCTCCCTCGTGGAGCCCGTCGTGTGGGTGTACGACAGCGCCATCGCGCCACAAGTCACGCCCTCCCTGTGGTGAGTGAGACGAGGCGCGCGCGCCTACGCGGCGCCAAGAACAAGCTCATCTAACCTTTTGTAGATTTAGTCACCTCATGCGAAAAAAATACCGCCTCTGTCTATACTTGTTAGATAAATGTTTCTAATGTCATTTTCCTGATTGATTCAATAGTGACTAAGGGCGCGGCGACTGATAAAATCATTACGTGGGTTGCCTTTTATATTTCAGGATTAGAGAACAAAAACAAATATTAATCATCGAAAATCACTTTACTGTTTTTCAAAATATTCCCCATGAAGATCTATACACTTTTGCATGCGTTTGAGCCAATTGTCGAAGTACGTTTGTCATTCTGATTCAGGTATCTCTAAAACATGCAATCTGAATGCAGCAACCGCTTCTTCACGTGTCGAAAAACGACCCTAAGTGTAGTTCATGTGTTTGCTCCGGGAGGTGGTGGTGATCTTCCCTCGGTGGATGATAAGATCCAGCGCCGACCTACACGATGGGGAGCGGGTTTTTCCCGCAACCAGGTATCTCCCACCAGCGGGTCACCGCTGCAGCCGAGACAAGTACTAAGCTTCCGACTGGTGTCCGATACGTGTGGTAGTGTAGCACATGTAAATGTAAGAATATGTGAGTAAGGTGCGAGAAGAAGACAAGGAAGGGGAAGATAAGATCGCGGTTCGTTTGTTAGGGTACTACTCCAGTATAAGCGTGGTGTTGATCGGAGAAAGCACAGAAAGCCATCGATCAGGGCAGCCAGCCGCTAGAACTTTCACCCAGACAACAGCTGAATTCGACCTAGCTATCTAGCTGGTGTCTAAAATCCTGCCGCCGTCAGGAATCAAACCCTAGGGCCTTCCGGTCATAGGCTCTGCAGTGGCATCAGTTGATACCCTGAGCCACCTAAGCCGGTCAATTTCCTGAGAAACTGTTACAGTTTCTTGAAGACTTGTCTTATTTTTTTTTTATATCCAGGTGTTTTGCTTAAAGCGAGACAGTGCTAACAATTTTTGTAATTATTGCCAAAAGAATATAAAAGAATAAACCAAAAAATTGGGAATTGGCGGAATTGGTATTTCATGACAGCCCAGTATCCCGCGCGGCCCTGCGATTGTACCCGATCTTCGTGGTCCCGACGCTGCGATCATACACGAACGTACCGCCAGTGGGCCATCAGAATTGCAGTGCTCTCGTTTCCGAGTCTATATCAGCGCTAAGAATCTTGGAAATGCGTACCTGATTCCGGAGACAGACTGGCTGCGACTGTATTGGAAAATGACCAAAGGTTCGCCAAAAATCTGATGTATTTGTTGATAAACGATCCGAAGCAATTTAAGTTGAACATAAGCTGTACTAAAAATATCAAAAACAGGATTTTCTCAAAAACAGTCAATTGCGCGCCGCGAAAACCGTTATGTGTCGTTCTAAGAGCAATTTTATAACGACCCGGTCGGTTTTTAATTTTCATTTCTTATAAAGACTTTCTACTCCACACATTTTTTTGGTTATATATCATGTAGCCATAAGTAAAAATATTCCAAAAAAAGCCAGTTCATATATTGGTTCAGTTCAAACTTCACGATGCAATTTCGGGGACGTAAGAAATTATATGTAATTTTTTTACTATTATGCATTCACCAGAAAGTAAAAAAGTTATTTTATATGATATCATTTTTAACTAGAGCGGAGCCTTTTAGTTTGCGGACTAAGAAAGTGTTTTACTCAGTATAACTACTGACTTTTTAAAATATCTTTATGAAAATTGTACTCGTAAAGCAAGCGGTTATATTACGTAGTTTTGCTTTAGAAGATTATTCACATTTTATTAGTAATTTATTGAAATATTTTAAGTTCAGTTTAAATACATTTATTGACGCATATGTGACCCTCGCAACTTCTAAATTTATGAAATTTAGTGCCATTAGATGGTGAGTAAGAAACCTGAGAGACCATTAACGCAAAAAATTAATTTGTCGAGCTACGATTAGGTCTGCTCCCATCGATAATCAGGAGGATTGGAAAAACATAATAGACAATTGAAAAAATATAATAGCGAAGTTGATCATCGTTGCATTAGTGTAGGAGGCTTAACAAATTGCTCAATTTGTTTAGGTTGTTTCTTTTCCACCATTCTTTTATGGAGGCAATTGAAAAGTGAGACTTCAGCAACGTCGTAGGTCAAGAGAGAACGAAAGGTGAATTAGACAGGAAAAAGCGTTTTCAGTAGGGATCGCAGAGATATGAATATATTATTTTCTCGAGTGGAAACAATTCCTTTTTGTGTACTGTCATTCCAGATCGGTGTAATATTAATTACTAGCTGGATTAAACACCAGTTCGATTGCGTGCAGGTAGCGGCGACTCATGTCCTTAGGAGTATTCACCTCTGTTGATTGGAGATTAGAATATAACCCCTAATCAATACATCATAGCTCCCGGGCCCTCTGAGGTCACAAGCCTCCGTAATTGCGGCTATGTTTAATGTGAGGGTAGATGCGTTTACATGTAATTAGATGTAATTATACATTATCATTCAAATAACATACGTTTTCTCCTTAAAAGTTATTTAGTTATATTTCATGAATTACAACAATCCATCGATTTTGAGTCTGAAAAGTAGTTCTAACAACAATTTGAATTTTTCTTGAAATTCTGAGAACTGAGACCCAATCATATCAGCTTTGAAATTGTAATTTCATTTAAATATTATTAATATATAAACCTGAAGATATTAAATAAAGTTCGTCTACAATGAAACATCTGTGGTCACGCATGGTAACGAAGAAAAATGTGTATGTTTTAATACGTACATATATATTGT